CATCTTCTCCCTCTTCCCTTTCTCCCTCGTTCTCCCTCCATTCTCCATCTTTCTCCATTGTTCTCCATCTTTCTCCATTGTTCTCCCGTTTCCCCCCATTCTCCTTTCTTCTCCATTGTTCTCCATCTATTCTCCATCGTTCTCCCTCCATTCTCCATTTCTCCATCTTTCTCCATCGTTCTCCCTCCATTCTCCACATTCTCCATCGTTCTCCACTTTCTTCTCCCTCCATTCTCCATCATTCTCCATCGTTCTCTCTTCGTTCTCCATCGTTCTCCCTCCATTCTCCATCTTTCTCCATCGTTCTCTCTTCGTTCTCCATCGTTCTCCCTCCATTCTCCATCTTTCTCCATTGTTCTCTCTTCGTTCTCCATCGTTCTCCCTCCATTCTCCATCTTTCTCCATTGTTCTCCATTGTTCTCCATCGTTCTCCATCGTTGTCTCTTTGTTCTCCATCGTTCTCCCTCCATTCTCCATCTTTCTCCATTGTTCTCCATCGTTCTCCATCGTTCTCTCTTCGTTCTCCATCGTTCTCCCTCCATTCTCCATCTTTCTCCATCGTTCTCCATCGTTCTCTCTTCGTTCTCCATCGTTCTCCCTCCATTCTCCATCTTTCTCCATTGTTCTCCATCGTTCTCTCTTTGTTCTCCATCGTTCTCTCTTTGTTCTCCATCGTTCTCCCTCCATTCTCCATCTTTCTCCATTGTTCTCCATCGTTCTCCATCGTTCTCCATCATTCTCCATCGTTCTCCCTCCATACTCCATCATTCTCCCTCCATTCTCCATCGTTCTCCATCGTTCTCCATCGTTCTCCACCTCAGAGAGGTGTGCAGTTCAAGGGGGCTGGGAATTTGGAGCGTTCTTCTGCTGACTGCCTTTTCTTTGTCTCCATGTCAGACGGAGGAGATCAAGAAGCTGGGGAGCAGCGACCGGTCCAGCTTTGCTCAGAACGGCGTCTACATTGGCGGGACGAGGTGCAGACTGATCAGGGACCAGATGGACATGGACCCCGTCTACGCTCTGGACCTGAAGACCGCTGCTGATGCTGAGGGCAACACTTTCAACGTCTGTGTGGGGAAGAGCGTAACAGGTGAGACGGACTGGAAGGACGGCAAGTAAAGAGACGCCTTTGATTCCTCTTCTGGTGTTTGACTCTTTATGTCTCCCCCTTCCCTCCCCCTCTGTCCTCCCCCTCTGTCCTCCGCCTCTGTCCCCCCTTTCCTCCCCCTCTGTCCCACAGCTATAGTCATAGTTAAGGGCACAAAAGACGCCAGCGGTGGACAGCTGTCCAGCAAGGCCTTCAGCGTAGTCAGCTACCTAAGGAAGTCCAACATGTGAATCCAACATGGCCGCCGCCTCCCCCCTCCTCCAAATTCTGATGGACGACCCCTCCCTCACCCGTGTCTCCCCCAGCGTCCCCCCTGGGCTCCGGTAGTCTGCGGCGTCCCCCCCACCATCAGGGATCAAAGTGTTTTCCTCCATGTAACTAGAATCAGTGACTGCGTGTGCGGCGGCGGGTCACATGACCTCGCCGCCGCACACGCGTGTTCTTAGACAGGGAGCCAGTGTTACATGTTTCACTGCATCACACGCATGAAAGAAATAAAGACAGATCTGTTTACGTCACCCGTTGTCATGGTTTCTGTTCTACACACAAGTACACACCTGCTGAAATACTACTACAAACTACTACGATACTACAATATATATAACAACATGATAATACTTCTATGTTCTACTGCTGGTCCAAAGAAAGGACAGAGGAAGTAGTACCTCCAGCAGTACTACATCCACTACTTTCAATACTAAAAAGTATGTGAAGCTGTCTCTCAGCAGTACCACAGAGTACTTTAAGCTATCTCTCAGCAGTACTACAGAGTACTTTAAGCTATCTCTCAATAGTACTATATAGTACTTTAAGCTATCTCTCAGCAGTACTACAAAGTACTTTAAGCTATCTCTCAATAGTACTACAGAGTACTTTAAACTGTCTCTCAATAGTACTACAGAGTACTTTAAGCTGTCTCTCAGCAGTACTACAGAGTACTTTAAGCTGTCTCTCATTAGTACTACAGAGTACTTTAAGCTATCTCTCAATAGTACTACAGAGTACTTTAAGCTGTCTCTCAGCAGTACTACAAAGTACTTTAAGCTGTCTCTCAATAGTACTACAGAGTACTTTAAGCTGTCTCTCAGTAGTACTACAGAGTACTTTAAGCTGTCTCTCATTAGTACTACAGAGTACTTTAAGCTATCTCTCAGCAGTACTACAAAGTACTTTAAGCTGTCTCTCAGCAGTACTACAGAGTACTTTAAGCTATCTCTCAGCAGTACTACAAAGTACTTTAAGCTATCTCTCAATAGTACTACAGAGTACTTTAAGCTGTCTCTCATTAGTACTACAGAGTACTTTAAGCTATCTCTCAGCAGTACTACAAAGTACTTTAAGCTGTCTCTCAATAGTACTACAGAGTACTTTAAGCTGTCTCTCAGCAGTACTACAGAGTACTTTAAGCTATCTCTCAATAGTACTACAGAGTACTTTAAGCTGTCTCTCAATAGTACTACAGAGTACTTTAAGCTATCTCTCAATAGTACTACAGAGTACTTTAAGCTATCTCTCAATAGTACTACAGAGTACTTTAAGCTGTCTCTCAATAGTACTACAGAGTACTTTAAGCTGTCTCTCAATAGTACTACAGAGTACTTTAAGCTATCTCTCAATAGTACTACAGAGTACTTTAAGCTGTCTCTCAATAGTACTACAGAGTACTTTAAGCTATCTCTCAATAGTACTACAGAGTACTTTAAGCTGTCTCTCATTAGTACTACAGAGTACTTTAAGCTGTCTCTCAATAGTACTACAGAGTACTTTAAGCTGTCTCTCAATAGTACTACAGAGTACTTTAAGCTGTCTCTCAGCAGTACCACAGAATACTTTAAGCTGTCTCTCAATAGTACTACAGAGTACTTTAAGCTGTCTCTCAGCAGTACCACAGAATACTTTAAGCTGTCTCTCAATAGTACTACAGAGTACTTTAAGCTGTCTCTCAATAGTACTACAGAGTACTTTAAGCTGTCTCTCAGCAGTACTACAGAGTACATTAAGCTGTCTCTCAGCAGTACTACAGAGTACTTTAAGCTGTCTCTCAGCAGTACTACAGAGTACTTTAAGCTGTCTCTCAGCAGTACCACAGAATACTTTAAGCTGTCTCTCAATAGTACTACAGAGTACTTTAAGCTGTCTCTCAATAGTACTACAGAGTACTTTAAGCTGTCTCTCAGCAGTACTACAGAGTACTTTAAGCTGTCTCTCAGCAGTACTACAGAGTACTTTAAGCTGTCTCTCAATAGTACTACAGAGTACTTTAAGCTGTCTCTCAATAGTACTACAGAGTACTTTAAGCTGTCTCTCAGCAGTACTACAGAGTACTTTAAGCTGTCTCTCAATAGTACTACAGAGTACTTTAAGCTATCTCTCAGTAGTACTACAGAGTACTTTAAGCTGTCTCTCAGCAGTACTACAGAGTACTTTAAGCTGTCTCTCAATAGTACTACAGAGTACTTTAAGCTGTCTCTCAAGTAGTACTACAGAGTACTTTAAGCTGTCTCTCATTAGTACTACAGAGTACTTTAAGCTGTCTCTCATTAGTACTACAGAGTACATTAAGCTGTCTCTCAGTAGTACTACAGAGTACTTTAAGCTATCTCTCAGTAGTACTACAGAGTACTTTAAGCTGTCTCTCAGCAGTACTACAGAGTACTTTAAGCTGTCTCTCAATAGTACTACAGAGTACTTTAAGCTGTCTCTCATTAGTACTACAGAGTACTTTAAGCTATCTCTCAGTAGTACTACAGAGTACTTTAAGCTGTCTCTCAGCAGTACTACAGAGTACTTTAAGCTGTCTCTCAATAGTACTACAGAGTACTTTAAGCTGTCTCTCAGCAGTACTACAGAGTACTTTAAGCTGTCTCTCAATAGTACTACAGAGTACTTTAAGCTGTCTCTCATTAGTACTACAGAGTACTTTAAGCTGTCTCTCAGTAGTACTACAGAGTACTTTAAGCTGTCTCTCAATAGTACTACAGAGTACTTTAAGCTGTCTCTCAATAGTACTACAGAGTACTTTAAGCTATCTCTCAATAGTACTACAGAGTACTTTAAGCTGTCTCTCAGCAGTACCACAGAGTACTTTAAGCTGTCTCTCAATAGTACTACAGAGTACTTTAAGCTGTCTCTCAATAGTACTACAGAGTACTTTAAGCTATCTCTCATTAGTACTACAGAGTACTTTAAGCTATCTCTCACCAGTACTACAGAGTACTTTAAGCTGTCTCTCAATAGTAATACAGAGTACTTTAACCTGTCTCTCAGTAGTACTACAGAGTACTTTAAGCTGTCTCTCAGTAGTACTAAAGAGTACTTTAACCTGTCTCTCAGTAGTACTACAGAGTACTTTAAGCTGTCTCTCAGTAGTACTACAGAGTACTTTAAGCTGTCTCTCATTAGTACTACAGAGTACTTTAAGCTGTCTCTCATTAGTACTACAGAGTACATTAAGCTGTCTCTCAGTAGTACTACAGAGTACTTTAAGCTGTCTCTCATTAGTACTACAGAGTACATTAAGCTGTCTCTCATTAGTACTACAGAGTACTTTAAGCTATCTCTCAGTAGTACTACAGAGTACTTTAAGCTATCTCTCAATAGTACTACAGAGTACTTTAAGTTGTGTCTCAGCAGTACTACACAGTACTTTAAGTTATCTCTCAATAGTACTACAGAGTACTTTAAGCTGTCTCTCAATAGTACTACAGAGTACTTTAAGCTGTCTCTCAATAGTACTACAGAGTACTTTAAGCTGTCTCTCAATAGTACTACAGAGTACTTTAAGCTGTCTCTCAATAGTACTACAGAGTACTTTAAGTTGTGTCTCAGCAGTACTACAGAGTACTTTAAGCTATCTCTCAGTAGTACTACAGAGTACTTTAAGCTATCTCTCAATAGTACTACAGAGTACTTTAAGCTATCTCTCAGTAGTACCACAGAGTACTTTAAGCTATCTCTCAATAGTACTACAGAGTACTTTAAGCTATCTCTCAGTAGTACTACAGAGTACTTTAAGCTGTCTCTCAGCATCACTACAGAGTACTTTAAGCTATCTCTCAATAGTACTACAGAGTACTTTAAGCTATCTCTCAATAGTACTACAGAGTACTTCAGTCTCTTCAGTAATCAGTCTCCCAGTAGTACTGCACAGTACTTTGAGCAGTCTGTAGTACTGTAGTACTGTAGCAGCAGTACTACTGTAGCAGCAGTACTACAGTAGCAGCAGTACTACAGTAGGTCAGAGTACTCGCAGCAGATCAGAAGTATCAAAGTGTGTTTTTCCAGTAAACTAGAGGCTGTTTTTATCTTTCTGCAGAATAGAATCTACTCACCAAACCGTGCAGATCTATGGCTCTAGAATATACAAACATTAATATTTATTCCCTAAAAGGAGCCGCTGCTTTTATCCTTTTATAGTTAATTTAGTTTTATCTGATGTCATAGTTTCCAATCAGTATAACGGATAGAGACGTATCCTGTGGTCATGGAAACGGGCTTGGACTGTCAGAAACAACCACTGATGCAGAGATAGAGATATGGGCGGATCTCTGAAGATCAGGACCATAGTACTACATTTAGTCCTTTAGCTTCTACTTTAGCAGTACTACATACAGCAGCAGAGTACTACTAAATGTCCTGCAGGAGATCTACATTTAGTATTTCTAGAGGTCTCCCAGCTTCTGTCCACGGACTACAGAACGATACTAGAGTACTTTTGCAGCTGAACCACCTTAAGCTGTCCTGTGGTACTATAGTACTTTGATTAGTCCACAGATATATTTATCCAGCAGCGAGGCTCCAGGCTGAGGGACACCTAAAGGTGAGACTAAAGGGTAAAATGTGAGGGACGGACTCTCTGGGTTCTGCCCTTTGCAGCGAATGCTGACCCAGCTTCAGGTTACTCCTGCTAGTGAACTTTAACCTTTCTGACTTCAGGGACTGTCAGCAAAGTTCAGCTGCAGGAACACGGTGGAGGGGAAAGGTACTGCGGGAAACAATCCCAAACATGGTGACCGTTAGACTTAATAAGCTGGATTACGGGTTCAGCAACAGGCTGTTTAATGTTGCTGTCAGACTTTAATGATCCTCTGAAACAGCTGGAACTGATGAGGAGGAACCATGGAGGCCAGAGGAGATCCTCCAGCAGATAGAGATCTTCCAGCAGAGCCTCCTGCTGGAGGCTTTCAGGTTCTGCTTCTCCTGCTACAGTCAGACACTCCCTGCCTCTCCTTCCTGCCCCTCCTCCCTCTGCACCAGGCAGCTATAAAAAACCCTCAGAGACAAGGACAGGCACTTTCCACGTCAGTCAGACGGACAGAGGGACAGTCAGACGGCCCGAGACGACCCCTTCCTCTCTTCTTAGAGCTTCGCCTCTCAGGTGAGTCCCACCAAACCTCCTGAACGCTCAGAGGCTGTCGGCCAGTCACTTCCTGGTTCCTACCAGCTCAAACTGCTTCGGTCACACCGCCTACGAGCAGGCTTTTATTTTGAAAGAGCACTTATTTAACCAAACTTTTGTTCTAGATGGTTTGTGTTTTTGGGTGTGTGAGTTTCTGGTTGATTTGGATCTGGAACCAGCCGGAGTCTGACTGTGAGCGCGCTGAAGGTCACAGAGTGGAAATCTGACAAACAGCAGGAGGAGCACAAAGTCCACAGACTGATACACCCACCGAGTCACAAAACACACACAGGGACCCACTCAGGGTGGCTGGAGGGGCCGTTCTGGGTCAGATCCGAGGTCCAAACCACAGGTTAACCCAGGTTCATGGTTCTAAACCTCAGGGGGACAGAATCTGCCTGCTGGTTCTGGTTTACCGGGTTCTATCAGGACGCAGAAACACTCATTTAGTGACATCACAGAGGGGGGCTGGGGGGTGGGGGGGTGCTGAAGCAGCCAAAAGCTGGTGGAGGTTCCCCTCAGCAGAACCCTCATCCAGGTTCCAGTTGGAGGGAAGCTACGTTGGTGTAACTTCTGCATCAGCATCTCCAGACCTCCTGTCTTACATTAACGCACAGCCTACTGTGTATATAGAACATATTATGTCTTACATTGTATATAACTATGGATCCTGCTTTCCTTTATATATATATAATTTGTCTGCAGCATCACAAGTGCAAACCTGCTCGGCAATAAATCTGACAGTGAAGGAGGAGTTCTCCTGGAAGCTGCTGCAGATGTTTCTGCTCTGCTACCTTCTTCACCTCATGGAGCTCAGGAGAACTTTCCTTCTTCAACTCACTGCGAAATGTTTCTGTTTGGATGTAAAAACTGCTAAAATTCTGGCACAACCTGCAATAGTTGACCTTAAAGCTGGAGTGGGGGTCTGTCCCCTGGGGGGAGGGTCTCTGTAAAGGCCATCGGTGGTCTCAAGTGCTCTTCAGGAGCTCAGCTGTTGTTCTGCAGGCCTGACCCACAAATACCCCCAGGCCCCGCCTCCTGACGCTAAAGGAAGCATCAGGGCGTCAGCTGTCCTACAGTATCACCTCAGGAGGGCCTCTCCTCCAGAACTTTTGCTGCAGGTCACGAGGACCGTTCCTGGTTCCTGGATGACACCCTTTACTTTGAAGGATCATCCTGCTATCGGCTCTCAGATGCCTTCAAATGTCAGATGGTTCTGCTGGTGTTTCTAACCCTGACCTCCTCATAAAGGTCCACTAAAAGGTCAGCAGCTCCTCCTTCTGCAGTATAAAAATATCTGAGTGGGCCCCCCCCCTCAGTGGATTCCTCCTCCCAGTCAGCTGCTGACCAGCCCTCATTGGCTGTTCAGCAGCGTGGGCGGGGATTGCTGCAGCAAAGAGCCTTCACGGTGCCGCCATGGCGTTAAACAGGATCCCTGCTGCAGGTCTGACACACACAGACACACACATCTGATCACGCACTGACCGAGGACGAGTCCTTTCACCTCAAAGGTCTTTGAAGCACAAAACAAACAGACCGCACCATCTGTGAATCAGTCTGTGTTTGGATCGTCACTGCTGCAGGGACAGGGACACGGTCCCACTGAGTCCAGGTCACTCAGGCAGGGTCTAAATCTGCTGTGGTTGGGGGGTGGTCCCACGGTGCTCAGATGGTCCAGGATCAGGGTCCAATTGTATAAACTAATGTAGAGCAAAGGACAGAGTCCCCCCTTTTAAAGGACAGATAGACTCTAGTTTTAGGACTCAAAGGACAGCCGGTCTTCCATGCATGTCTCTGCTTCTGGTCTGTTTGTCCTGAGCAGGACTCTGTTTCAAGGTTCCCACCTGGTTAATCTCTTGGATTCCTCACGGACCAGATGACAGAGCTCATTCTGGATTAACTGGATCAGAGTGTGTGAACACCTCAGACAGCTGCCCTGGATTTAAAGCTCTGTCCCTTTCCTGTGTCCCCCTGTGTCTCTTAGTCAGGATGTCTATCACCAAGATTCACGCTCGTGAGATTCTGGATTCCAGAGGAAACCCCACCGTGGAGGTGGACCTGTGGACAGCAAAAGGTGAGTAGCAGCACCTTCTACATTGTGTCCCACATGTCCTTCAAGGCCATGGAACTGAAGTCACACAATGTCTCAGGTCTCTTCAGGGCTGCCGTCCCTAGCGGGGCCTCCACTGGAGTCCATGAGGCCCTGGAGCTCCGTGATGGAGACAAGAGCCGTTACCTGGGCAAAGGTAGGAGGAAGCAGATGAGGACAGGTGAGACGGAAAACTGTCTGCAGGAGAGCTGCTGACATCTGTCTTTGTCCACAGGTACCCAGAAGGCTGTGGACCACGTCAACAAGGAGATCGCCCCCAAGCTGATTGAGAAGGTATCCGCCATTGTTCCCTGCAGGTTCTCAGAGGGTTCTGGTGCTTTGGGGCAAGTAGATTTAAGCTAACGGGCTAATACCTGGCCTTTTGGTCCTCAAGGGCAGCTGGTCTCCAGGTGCTGGTGAAGGTTCTTAGTCTTCCAGGTCATAGTCAGTCCAAAAAAAAAAAGAAAATTAAAAACAATCCACTGGACTTTGTTTACAAGTTTGAAGACGTTTTGCTTCCTTTGATTAAAATTTTGAATTGAAAAAGATTCCTGGGTGGGAAGCAAAACATCTTCAAAGTTGGAAACAAAGTCCAGTGGATTGTTCTCCAGGTTTCAATGTTTTCTCTGCTTTAGCTCAGTTGATTCTAATGATTCCTGTTAATCTGCCATGAAAAGCAAAGAAACCTGTAAAACCTTCAGGACAGAGAACCTTGAGGGCCGACTTTGAAATGTCTGACTGAGACATTCATCTTCTCTGTCCAAATGTCTCTCTACCTAAAGTGCTTTATAAGTTCAGGTCATTGACCATCCACCTGTCTGTCCTTGTATGTTTCTATTTCTCTGTCCTCGGCTCTCTCTACCAATCTATCCTCAAACATGGCTACCTGTCTGTCGACATATCTCACCTCATTATTTTTCTCTACATATCTTTTTAATTCTTTGTTTTCCAGAAAATTAGCGTCGTAGAGCAGGAGAAGATCGATAAGTTCATGCTGGAGTTGGATGGCACAGAGAACAAATGTAAGGAATAGTCTATTTGCCGGTCCTTCCTCTCTGCATCCCGGTCCGTCTTTGACCTGTGTGTCCCTGTCTCTGCCTGTAGCTAAGTTCGGTGCTAACGCCATCCTGGGCGTGTCCCTGGCCGTCTGCAAGGCCGGAGCAGCGGAGAAGGGAGTTCCTCTCTACCGCCACATCGCCGACCTCGCCGGACACAAGGATGTCATTCTTCCTGTTCCTGTGAGTGGGAGGGGCTTAATGAGAGGCTGGCGTTGGTGTAAAGGGTTGGGCTTTATGTGAGTGGGCGGGGCTTTGACTTGATATTTATAGAAGAATTTCGGGCCCGTTCTCCGTGACATTGGTGGAGTAACAACAAAGTCTTGGTTCAGTGGACGGTTAGACCTGAATCCGTCGTTCTGTTGGTCTCCTGGGTTTACTGCATGTTCTCTGTGTGTTCAGGCCTTTAATGTGATCAATGGCGGCAGCCACGCTGGAAACAAACTGGCCATGCAGGAGTTTATGATTCTTCCAGTTGGAGCTTCAAACTTCCATGAGGCCATGAGGATTGGAGCAGAGGTACCATGATCTTCAGCTAGCAGCACCGCTTCCTCAGACAACACGTTCTCCAGGGATATTTCTCTCATTGTCTTATTTCAGGTCTACCACAACCTGAAGAATGTCATCAAAGCCAAATACGGCAAAGATGCCACCAACGTGGGAGATGAGGGTGGCTTCGCCCCCAACATCCTGGAGAACAATGAGGGTGAGGCTCCAGCTGTCTGACCATAAACAGACCAGCTTCAGTTTTACGACAACCGCTGACTGTCTGTGTCTCTGCAGCCCTGGAGCTGCTGAAGACGGCCATTGAGAAGGCTGGGTACCCTGATAAGATCATCATCGGCATGGACGTGGCTGCCTCTGAGTTCTACCGCAATGGAAAGTACGACCTGGACTTCAAGTCTCCTGATGACCCATCCAGACACATCAGCGGAGAGAAGCTTGGAGACCTGTACCGCAGCTTCATCAAGGGCTACCCTGGTAGAAACGCCCCCAAAACACCTGAAGCTCTTTCACCAGCACCTAAAACCTTACAAATGATAAGATCTATTTAATGAGAGTATACAGAATCAGTGCAGATTTGTGTCATCTTAATTTGATTCACTTATCTTCTAAGTGAAACTATTTTGATTTGTAATTCACTGAAGTGCTATTGCATTGGTCTACCTTTAGGGGGCAGCATTGTGTTGAATTCCAGTCTCTGTGTCTGACTCTAGTTCAGTCCATTGAGGATCCGTTTGACCAGGATGACTGGGAACAGTGGGCTAAATTCACCTCCTCTGTAGACATCCAGGTGAGCTGGACAGCTGTTTCTGCTTGAATACAGACAGCATCCTTAACCTGACTCACCTGTGGGTCTGCTTCCAACCAATCAGATCGTAGGAGACGATCTGACAGTGACCAATCCAAAGAGGATCCAGCAGGCCGTGGAGAAGAAGGCCTGCAACTGTCTTCTGCTCAAAGTCAACCAGATCGGTTCTGTCACCGAGTCCATCCAGGCGTAAGACGTCCGTCTGTCTCTCTGTGTGTCTGTCCAGCCATCTGTCCTTGTCTGTCCATCTCTTACTGAAGACCGTTCTGAAGTCAAAAACTGATATTATCAGATATAATAATCCAAGATCTCTGTCATCGTATCACATTCTACAGCTGTTTTCTTTTCCCTTCTACTTGACCCTTTATGATCCCCACTGTGTCTCTGTGACCCCCTGTCTCCCGCTGACCCTGTCTCTTGGAGTTTCTGTCCAACTATCTCTCTCTCACTCTGTCTCTCTCTGTCCCCCTGTCCCTCTCTGACCCCGTCTCTTTGTGTCTCTGTCCTCCTGTCCCTCTCTGTCCCCCTGTCCCTCTCTAACCCCGTCTCTTTGTTTCTCTGTCCTCCTGTCCCTCTCACCCTGTCTCTCTCTCTGTCCCCCTGTCTCCCTCTGACCCTGTCTCTTGGTGTCTCTGTCCATCTCTGACCCTGTCTCTTTGTGTGTCTGTCCTCCTGTCCCTCTCACCCTGTCTCTCTCTGTCCCCCTGTCCCTCTCTGACCCTGTCTCTTTGTGTCTCTGTCCTCCTGTCCCTCTCACCCTGTCTCTCTCTGTTCCCCTGTCCCTCTCTGACCCCGTCTCTTTGTGTCTCAGGTGTAAGCTGGCGCAGAGCAGTGGTTGGGGTGTGATGGTCAGCCATCGTTCTGGAGAGACTGAAGACACCTTCATCTCTGACCTGGTGGTTGGACTCTGCACTGGACAGGTAGGATGGGGGACAGATGGGTGGGGTTAGGTCCAAAGACATAGCCAGGCAGTTTCTTAAGGTCATAACCAATCTTTATCCTGTCTCCTGCTGGTTGCCTCTATCAATGATATCCCTTCTGTTTCTCAGATTAAAACCGGCGCCCCCTGCAGGTCAGAACGTCTGGCCAAATACAACCAGCTGATGAGGTAAGCGCCTCCTGATTACTTCTAAAGTAAAAGCCACTGTTTCAGAGTAAAAGCCCAGCTGACCTGGCTCTCTCTGCAGGATCGAGGAGGAGCTCGGAGACAAGGCCAAGTTCGCTGGGAAGGACTTCCGCCACCCAAAGATCAACTGAGACTCCGCCTGGCCCCGTCACCGTGCCAACTGACTGACACCTGATTACCCCTGGGGTTTAAGCCCCGCCCTCCCAGCTGTTATTCCATAAATGTTGTTTTCTATAAAAACTCAAACAGAGTAAACAGAAACAAATAAAAGCATTTTTTCGAGTCGTTTCTTCAGATGTTTATTGGCTGGACTGCAGCTGCTTCCTGCGGCCGTTCTGATGCATCAAAGAACGTCAGAGCATGGGAGACATTAAGTCCACCCAGGTTCTCATTTCAGTCTGACAGTGAGCTTCGTCCCCAGCAGGAGTCATGTCCACACACACAATACACACACATGGCAGAGTGACGTCAATGCTGATTGGCTGAGGAGTTTGGGCTGCAGGCAGCATGTTGCCTGGTGATGACCAGCAGCCGTGTCGGGCCCCTGACTGAGGCTGGGGACATGAGGAGGAGGAGCAGTGTGCTTCATCTTCACAGAGTTTTAATCTGGGTGACACAAACTGAGACCGTCTGCGTCTCTGAACGTCCTCCTGACTCCTGGGTCCACACCTTAACCAGGAATCTGTCCAGGAATAAGGAGACTGCAGGCGGTGTGAGGGACCCTGATGAACCTGCTGCAGACCCCCCCCCCAACCAAACAAAGGGCCCGCTCACACATTGATGATAAGAGCTCATCAATCACCTGATTAGTAGGGGGCAAAGGTCAAACCAGCAATACGAACTGAAGCAGTGAAGGTGGGGGGGCTTGGGGGAGTGTCAATATGGGTTTTTTATGTGGGCCTGATGACGTCAGAGGCTGAATAGAGGGCGGGCACTGATGAGGACAGAGGCGGCCGGGGTCATTACACAGGCACCAGACTGAGGTAGCCCCGCCCCCTTCCACAGGAAATAGTTTCTGATTAAAACATGGTCACCACGGCGACAGTTTAGGAGGGGGTCAGCGGTCCGAGGAGCCGAGGAAAGGAACAGTGGAACAGCATCATAGGTTTGAATTTACAGAGAGAGTCTTCTGATTGGCTGAGAAGGTCAAGACAAAGATAGAGAGGATTCTTCATCCTGGACCTCCTCTGGACCAAACCTCTGACCTCCTCTGGACCAAACCTGAGACCTCCTCTAGACCAAACCTCTGACCTCCTCTGGACCAAACCTGAGACCTCCTCTAGACCAAACCTCTGACCTCCTCTGGACCAAACCTGAAACCTCCTCTAGACCAAACCTCTGACCTCCTCTGGACCAAACCTGAAACCTCCTCTAGACCAAACCTCTGACCTCCTCTGGACCAAACCTGAGACCTCCTCTGGACCAAACCTCTGACCTCCTCTGGACCAAACCTGAAACCTCTTCTGGACCAAACCTCTGACCTCATCTGGACCAAACCTGAGACCTCCTCTAGACCAAACCTCTGACCTCTCTAGACCAAACCTGAGACCTCCTCTAGACCAAACCTCTGACCTCTCTAGACCAAACCTGAGACCTCCTCTAGACCAAACCTCTGACCTCTCTAGACCAAACCTGAGACCTCCTCTAGACCAAACCTCTGACCTCCTCTGGACCAAACCTGAGACCTCCTCTGGACCAAACCTGAGACCTCCTCTAGACCAAACCTGAGACCTCCTCTGGACCAAACCTCAGACCTCCTCTAGACCAAACCTCAGACCTCCTCTGGACCAAACCTGAGACCTCCTCTAGACCAAACCTCAGACCTCCTCTGAACCAAACCTCTGATCTTCTCTGCTCCATCAAGTTTTCTTTAGGGTCAATGCGGTCTAGTACTCCTGTAGGACTATGACCACCTTTCCAGAGAAGGAGATCCCGTGGGTCTGGTTTCATTGATTCTCTACAGGATGTTCAGGAGCTTCAAGCCTTACAGGGATTCCTCTGCAAAGTTTATTCCATGTTGTCTTTTCAGTGGCAAGAAGGACTAAAGAAAAAATGCAGGAGCTCTCAGAACGCTGATGCCTTCCTGAGGAACCTGGATTGGTTCCTTCTACCGCGTATCTCCTTCAGATCCTGACATCTCATTGCTGAGGAGTTTCTGACGGCCTGGATCTTCAAGCAGAACTTGCTGACGATGCAGCTCCATGACGGTGAATCATCATCAGTTCTGACTGAGGAGCTGCTGGAGGTCTGCAGGTGTCCCACCTCTACAGGGTCTTCCTATAGCTCCATCATCTCCTCGGTCTGAAGAACATGTCTCTCCACTGAGCCGTAGATCTGCTGTTAGTGTTGATCATCAGGTCACGTCAGGTTTCAGACGTAGATCTATTGATCTAGACTTACTCTGAGCAGAGTTAATCACTAAGGAATCTCCTCCTCCTGCAGAGATGATGCTGAATTAATCTGTTATATTTAAGGTTCGGTTGGTTCTGGTCTGAGCGGAGGTTCACCATCAGGATGTCTTCTGATCATCGGCGCAGGCTGGGATCATCTGGACAAGTCTGGAGGAACAGGGACCATCAGACCCGCTGTTCTAGCTAACAGCATCCAGAGCTTCCCAAACAAGGGAAAAAATAAACCCGACATCAGCACCAGAACCCGGTCCGGCCCAGATGGCCTCCCTGGGTCTCTGTTCACTAACACGTCACACTCATCACTGACCCCCTGTGCGAGAGGGGGAGACAGCGTTGCCTAGGTGACAGCATGAGGACCTGAGTGACCTGAAGAATGTGTGACATCACGGCACCGAGACTTTTAAAAGCGGGTCTCCGTGGTTTTTCTGCAGACTCCGACCCGTCCTGGAACATCTCAGGACCGACGCGCCGACAGACCAAAGCTCCCAGTTGATCTGTTTCTCTGAGGGCCAAAAAGCATCGAACTGGACCGGACCGGTAACAGCTGCTAGAACCTGCTGGACCTTTGTTCTGGAGGTGAGTTCTGCTGGGTTATTAAGTTCTGCTGGTTTATTAGGGTTTGCTGGTTTTTCACCCTTTAAAGAACTCAACAGGTTCTGGTCCTGCTGAGGGACCAGAACCTGCAGATCAGAACTTTATAATTTAAAATAACATCACTGATTAAATGTTTTTTTTTAAGAGGCCCTGATAATTAATAATTATAGCATTTAATTTATTCATGTTTGGAAATAAATGACACTAAATGACATGAAATGTGCTAAAAATAAAACAGCTGTTAACTAATAGATCTAATTTCTACTTTATTTGAAGTCATTGAATCAAATTAAATAAAGTTTTGTGTTTTATTGATTTCAAAATCTTTCAACAGGAAAATATTTTCCCTGAAATTCAAAGTTATTGAGTTTAAGGTTCGGATGCTGATCGTGAAGATTGGAGCTAATCTGATAATAAATCAGTCCAGCAGGCTTCTGGTTCTGTTCTCTAAGCTACGTTGGATGTTGATGATGCTGAAGTGCTGCTGAGCCAGACAGGAAGTAGATGAGCATCATTTCCTGTTTAGACTTTTACCCTTTGAATTCAAACCAGATTTTAAACAGTAAAGATGTTTTTGTTGAGAATATCTGGACTGTAAAGCCAGAGATTCATGATAACTGAGATCCTCGTCTTTAGCCTGTTTGTCTCCATTCAGGACATTTTCTGTCCTGCTGGACTCCATCGTCCAAACAGTTTTCTCCACAGCATCCCGCTGATTCTGCAGAGTGGGAGAATAGAGATAGAATGAAGCAGAATGATGAAAAAGGGGTCCCTATGTCCTCCAAAAGTCTAAGCCTATAGCAGCAGAACTATAGAGATAGATCAGGATAACCTGAGCCACTCTAACTAGAAGCTTTATCAAAAAGGAAAGTTTTAAGCCTAGCCTTAAAAGTAGACAGGGTGTCTGCCTCACGGACTAAAACTGGTAGTTGGTTCCACAGGAGAGGAGCCTGAGAACTAAAAGATCTGCCTCCCATTCTACTTTTAGAAATTCTAGGAACCACTAGTAAACCTGCAGATTGAGAGCAAAGTGCTCTGTTAGGAACATAAGGAACAATCAGATCTCTGATATCAGATGGAGCTTGGCCATTTAAGGCTTTATATGTGAGAAGGAGGATTTTAAATTCTATTCTGGATTTAACAGGAAGCCAATGAAGAGAAGCCAGGATAGGAGAGATATGATCTCTCTTTTTCATTTTCATCAGAACTCTGGCTGCAGCATTTTGGATCAGCTGAAGGCTTTTAACTACAGTTTGTGGACTTCCTGATAGTAAAGAATTCCAATAGTCCAGCCTTGAAGTAACAAATGCATGGACTAGTTTCTCAGCATCACCCCTGGACAGGAGATTGCTCATTTTTGCAATATTCCTCAGATGAAAGAAGGAAATTCTAGAAACCTCTTTGATCTGGGATTTAAATGACAGGTCCTGATCAAAAATAACACCAAGATTTTTTACTTTATTATCTGAAATCAGTTTAATCCCATCCAAATGAAGTGACTGACTAATCAGCTTCTTTTTCAGAGACTCTGGTCCAAAGACTATAACTTCTCTTACAGTCTTATCCAGAATCCCATTATCCAGCAGCTGGATAAGGAACCATTCATGGCTCTATTTATTAACTAACTTAATGGACTTCCACTCAGAACAGAATAGTGAGACACTAAATGTTTAATTTATTTTGTTGCTTTTGATAAAAACCTGAAATATCTTCTTTTTCTTAATTTATTTCAGGTTTTAAAATACCATATTTTTTTGCCTTTTACATATAAAGATGGCTGCCTCTTCTGTTCCCATCATCCTCCTGCTCCTCCTCTCGGTTTCCGTGGAAACGAGGCCTTCTCCTTATAAAGATGACAGACAGGTGCTCATCATCCTCCCTGCTTCATTACTTTACACCATTGAGTCTCTTTCTGAGTCTTACAGATTGGTCGTTCCTGGTCATGTGACCTGTTTGTTTAACTGCTCATTTCTCCAGGTGTTACAGTCTCTCTTCGGCTCCCGCCTCACCTCTCTCATGGAGGTCACGCCCACCCCTGATGACATCACAGAGGGCTCTGCTTCCCCACCAACCTTCCGCTCTGATTCCAAGGGGCTGAGTCTCAGTCACCAAGGTAACGGCAGCGGGTTGGCCCGCAGACAGGAAGTGGTCCATCAGTTCTTCCTGGACTTCCTGCGGCAGCAGGTGAAGACGAGGAGGTGGAGCCGTAAGTCCATGGTGGGAGGAAGAGGATGCTTCGGGATGAAGCTGGACCGCATCGGCTCCATCAGCGGGCTGGGCTGCTAGATACCTAGATGGTTACCATGGTTACAGTACCGGACTTAGGCTGTTTCTGCTTTCTAATATGATCTGAAGAGGACCTGCATGACCTCTGACCTCTAGGACCTCCAGGTCCACCAGGTGGAGACTTCATGTTGGACGTTACTAACCCAGACGCAGACAGATGTTGTAGTGATGAAGACTGTGGTGGTCACCCTCCTGATGACCTTTCACCTACAGGTGTGTGTCTGACCTGCAAGTGTATTTCTGACCTGCAAGTGTGTGTGTGACACGCAAGTGTGTGTGTGACACGCAGGTGTATGTCTGAACTGCAGGTGTGTGTGTGACATGTAGGTGTGTGTCTGAACTGCAGGTGTGTGTGTGACACGCAGGTGTGTGTCTGAACTGCAGGTGTGTGTCTGACCTGCAAGTGTATTTCTGACCTGCAAGTGTGTGTGTGACATGCAGGTGTGTTTCTGACCTACAGGTGTGTCTGTGACATGCAGGTGTGTATCTGGCCTGCAGGTGTGTGTGTGACATGCAGGTGTGTGTGTGTGACATGTAGGTGTGTGTCTGACCCACAGGTGTGTGTCTGACCCACAGGTGTGTGTCTGACCCGCAGGTGTGTGTCTGACCTGCAGGTGTGTGTCTGACCTGCAGGTGTGTGTCTGACCTGCAGGTGTGTGTCTGACCCACAGGTGTGTGTCTGACCCACAGGTGTGTGTCTGACCCACAGGTGTGTGTCTGACCTGCAGGTGTGTGTCTGACCTGCAGGTGTGTGTCTGACCCACAGGTGTGTGTCTGACCCACAAGTCAGGTGTGTTTCTGTGCTGACAAAGCTCTTGCTGCAATAAACAGAACCAAATCTCTGCTCGTCTGGCTGCTTCATTTGATCAATCAGTGGCTTAAACCACCTGAATGTGTTTCCAGGTCTCTGCCTGGTTCTGTTCATGATCCATCAGCATTTATGCAGAGATAGTTTTAAAACGTCTATGTTCGGTACTTCGTAGACCATCGTTAGTTGGGTTTTCTTCCACAGAACCTCTGGGTCGGGTCTGCAGGCTGTATTGCTAACATTCATCCTTTCAGCCCTGAGATCAGGATGCTGTCATAATGTCTCCAGAATATTGACCTTGTTTTCCTTCAGCCATTTATTCTCCAGTTTGGTAGTATGTTGGGACATTGTCCAGGAGGACACATCTGCATCCAGGCTTCCTGGATGATGTTCATAATATCCTTTGAAACCACCAGTCCCTCCTTTAGCAACATTTGGAGCCTTCATGATGCTGCCACAGCTGCTAACAGGCTACTGTTCATCTTTATGCAAAATAAAAATATGTTCATTGTGTTAAACCCTTATCATCATCAGACCATGTGACCAATTCTACCTGTAATATTGAGGTATAGTAACGGTAATGTGCCGATAGGATTTTTGGACCCGATACCTGGCTGTGCAGTATTGGCCGATACCGATACCATCTATTTGAAATGAATGTGTGTGTATATATGAAGAACTGCAGACTACTGGGATGCCTTCCTTTGTAAAGCAGGAAAAAAAAAATACAAAGTGAATCCAGTAGACCTTTTTATTGCCTACCTGGAATGGGTGACAATAGTGGAAGAAACTTTTGGCTCTCAAAATGGTATCGGTGCCTTTTTTGTTGGTACTCGCCGATACCGATACCACCATTTTAGTGCAGGATCGTGGCTGGATCCTGATTTTTATTTCCCATAATAAAAGTTAGAAAAGTTAAAGTGAATCAGGAGAAGGCAGGAGTCTCATCTTTCATCATCTCACATTAAACAAACACATTAAACAAACTTTTTTTTAATAAATCATAAACTTTAAAGGAGAAGTTCGGTTTTTTACACTTTAAGCCCATTTTCTGTAGTGTCCAGGATGAAATCGAATGAAGGACACCAAAATTTTGACAATTGCTCCTGTCTCTGCTTTTTGGCTCATTTAGAATCCCCCCCTGGCTGCTTTAGAATGGCTAGCATAGAGCATGTCTGATAATGTCCTTAAAACAACCTTAAACGTTCTTTTTTTTAAATATGCTACTCACCGTGTCGTCAGCGCTGTTCAATGACGTTCCAAAAAAAGTTTCGTGAAGAAAAACCGTTCCTGTAGTGTTTTATTTAGCATTTTGTAAATCCCATTGAGTTCTGTAGGAAAAGTCAATATTCCGCTGCCACCGGAAACGGAAATGGGGCCTGTTTACACAGTTGTAGTCTTTTCGCTTCACTCTGTGTACTCCGACGTCGAGGTGCTAACGTCTCTGTTAAACACTTTAAAAAACTCTGAAAATGGAATACGAAAGGTGGATTCTTGATTCTCGACGTCGGAGTACACAGAGTGAAGCGAAAAGACTACAACTGTGTAAACAGGCTCCATTTCCGTTTCCGGTGGCAGCGGAATATTGACTATTCCTACAGAACTCAATGGGATTTACAAAATGCTAAATAAAACACTACAGGAACGTTTTTTTCTTCACGAAACTTTTTTTGGAACGTCATTGAACAGCGCTGACGACCCGGTGAGTAGCATATTTTAAAAAAAGAACGTTTAAGGTTGTTTTAAGGACATTATCGGACATGCTCTATGCAAGCCATTCTAAAGCAGCCAGGGGGGGATTCTAAATGAGCCAAAAAGCAGAGACAGGACCAATTGTCAAAATGTTGGTGTCCTTCATTCGATTTCATCCTGGACACTACAGAAAATGGGCTTAAAGTGTAAAAAACCGAACTTCTCCTTTAAGTCTGAAGTATCAAATCTAAATACTATTTTTCCAGCCACCAGGGGGCAGTAGAGGCGATATGAAGGGTTCTATCTCAGATCACGTGACCCTGTCAGTTCCGCCTCAGTTAGCAGCTAGCAGCTAGCATCGTCTCCTCGGAGGTTGCCTGCGGAGCGGCAGAAAGCCAACCCAGCCAGACTCTGCTCCTCTGGGACAGAAACTCCTCCAAGCTCAGCCTTCAGCCTCCCCCCGCTGCACCTCCTGACCCGGTTCCGACCCAGTTTTCTTCTGGTTCCTCTGGCCCGGTAGCTACAGCAGGAAGATGTCTGCGATCCAGCGGATGAAGGTGGCCAACGAGCGGCACAGCAAGACCATCACGCAGCGGGGACACGTCCAGAAGACCTCGGTGGGTTCTGGTTCTTCTTCTTCTTCTTGTTGTGTTTATTGGCGGTTGGCAACAAACTTAATAGTAGCATTACCGCCACTTACTGGTATGGAGTGTGGCTCTCGTTGGTCTAACGCTCTTTTTGTATATATATATCTATATATACTCATACATACACCTACCAACCCACACAAACAAACTTACATCCATATTTATATTCTACTCATCACTATCATCCACACATTCACTCTTATGTCTACTCTATCAAATTCTACTGAATATCTTAGTTTTCTTTAAGAATCTAATAACTATTTGTATATGTTTGCTCTCCAAACTTTCCCTCAAAATATCTATTAACATAAATTTTACCTTAATACTTTCAAACTCTTTTATCATACATCTTCTCTCTCTTTCATATTTATCACATTCTAGAATAACATGTTCTACTGTTTCCCATTCTCCACAATATTCACATTTACCAGTTGCATGTTTTTGAATTTTAAAAAGTGAGTAGTTAAGTCCAGTATGCCCAAATCTTATCCTGGTTATCACTCTTTCCTCTTGTGGGTTCTGGTTCGACTTATTCAGTGTCTTTATATTGGACCGAACCGGAAGTGGGCCGGAAAGCTGTCCGCATATAGTCAGAGGCTAACACCTGTCAGCTAACCTCTGTTTACAAGAGGAAGTGAACCAGACTCCCCCCGAAAACTTTACATTTTAGGAGGATTTTATCTTTAACTGGAGAAAAAATCGGTACAGATTTAATTTAATGTGATTATCTGACAGAACCAGAACCGGGCTGCGGTTCGGCTACCAGCCGGACGGTAGATGGAGTTAAATTGGGCGTTATATGACCGTAAACTGGGGGTTGGATCAGAACCGTCGGTGCGGTTCGGAGGTTCGGTTACTGCAGTTTAAACTGAGGGCTGTTTGGGTCCAGAGCGACCCTCAGCTTTGGGTTGTAGGTTCGGTTCTGTCAGATGGGACCAGAACCTCACCGATAACACGGTGGCAGCCGCCGTGCTACGTTCATGGTTCTGATTGGCTGAAGGGTTTATGCAGAGAAACCGACCAATCAGGAGGCAGAGTAGAGCTGATAGATCAGAACCTGGATGTTTGTAGAAATTAGAGATGAAACAATCAGATTAATCAATTATTGAAGTGCAGTAATTGCAATTATAACAAGATTGTTAAAATAAAATAAAAAAAACTGAACATTTTGCATTTAAGATAAAAAAAAAAAAAAATCAGCTGTTAATCTGCTCTATAATCAGGAAGCTTCAAGTGTGTTAAAGCAAAGCTCTTGTGTTTCCACCTTAAATCTCTCTGGTTCTTTTTTCCTGACAAGAGATGACTCTTTAAATAACAATTTCTATTCAGTTTATTTCTATAGCTCCAATTCACATCATGTCATCACAGGTCACTTTATAGATCCAGATCAACCAGATCATCCAGTCAGATTGATTCAAAGTTTTCTATCTAAGGAAAACCAGCTGATTGCATCGACTCATTGACTCTTCAGCAATCCCTCACACTAAGCATGCTTGTAGCGACAGTGGAGAGGAAAAAACTCCCTTTAACAGGAAGAAACCTCCAGCAGAACCAGGCTCAGTGTGAGCGGCCATCTGCTGAGGCCCACTGGGGTTCAAGGAGACAGAAGCAGACATAGAAAAAGAAGCATAGATACAAAAGGCAACTGTCAACCAGCTCCACAGGCGGCCCCGTCCAGGAAACACACAGCCAGGCAGACGAGCTCCGAGCCAGCTCCCATGTCAGAGGATGAAGAGAGCACATCCAGTTAGTCACAGTCAGAGAAACAGGACTACACTGGAAAACAGGCCAAGCTCCAACATCTAGAAACAAAGGTGTTGATGGCAGCAGCACAGCTGATATTTCTCTCCAGGATGGAGTCACAGCCAAACAGGAACAGACCAGATGAAGCTACTATGAGAAAAAGCAGAGAGAGCAGAACGTTAGAGATTGAACTAACAGATTCTGCAGAGTGGGAGAATAGAGATAGAATGAAGCAGAATGATGAAAAAGGGGTCCCTATGTCCTCCAGCAGTCTAAGCCTATAGCAGCAGAACTATAGAGATAGCTCAGGATAACCTGAGCCACTCTAACTAGAAGCTTTATAAAAAAAAAAACACTTCATAATGTTTATGTATTTAATAACCAGGAGACGTGACAACAGAATCTGATATAAATTCTAATCTTACTGAGATCAGAGAAGTTGCTTAGAGTTACAGAAGGCAGCTGCTCCCCTCTCAGGAAGTGGCCCCCGCTTAACTGTTAAAGAAACATTTTATTTATATCTGCAGTCTGCCACATCATCACATCATTCTCGTTAGCAGATAAGGAGGCATCTATGGCTGCCGCCTTATCAAAATATTCCGCTTGGTTCTCAGCTGAAGGACGCTGCTGTCATTCCATGAAGATAATAACTGTATTTAGCAGGACTGAGGAACTGTTTTAATGAGATAAACTACTGGGGCAAACAGCAGCTCTGACATGCAACAGGCAGTTTAATTAAGGTGTAATAAACTGACGCATAATCAGTGATAATCATCCTAACCAGAGGAACAGTTTTAGTTTCACCTGCTTTAATTCAGTAAACGTTCTTCTTTAATAATTCTTTGGCTCTGATTATTAAAGGATGAATAGAAAATCTATTTGCTAACTGTTAGCTTTAGCCTTAGCATAAGGCCCGCCGGGCCCCAGGTTCTAGACCAGCACAGGCCGACCCGTTAGCAGCGGCCGGTTCTGTCTGATCCAGGAGAAGCAGCTCTAACCACAGCAGTGATCTTTAAAGGTACTGGTTCCATTGGGTCGTACTGGGCTCATCCCAGTAGACCTTCAGGTGGTAGCATGGGTTTGGTAGGAACTGGGTTCTGGTTCTGGTTCTGTCTGCAGCTCTGATGAGGCTGTCTGTGTTCCAGAGGCCCGTCAACGAGGACAAGTCTCCAGTGGGACCGTGGCTGCTGGCGCTGTTCGTCTTCGTGGTCTGTGGATCAGGTGAGTCTGCCACACAGGAGGTTCTGAGGATTCTGGCACCGGTTCTGTTGGGCCACCTCGGAACCAGCTGCTCAACCAGGGAAGCATCCTGAAAAACATAATACCTTCTGAGGTCCAATCGGGTCGGTTCTGGGGGTGGGTGGTGGAGGTCGGGTCTGACCGGACCTGGGCGGTTCTGCAGCCTCACAGCTGATCATGTGGTTCTGTCCAGAAGTGGACCTCATGGACATAGAGCAGAACCAACACTCCTCTGAACCGGGTTGCTGTCGGGTCAGAACCAGTCCTTCTCTAAGCCCCCAGGTTCTGTCAGTGAGCCTCTGCTCCATAGCAGAGAGTTGGACCGGGCCGGACCAGGCCCTGCAGGAACAGGACCGGATCAGATCCAACCTCAGATCAGGAACTAGTGCAGCTGTCCTTTCAGGTTAGTTCTGTTTTAGGTCCATTTCATTGTGGTTCAAACAATTTGTTAGAACTCCAGGTAACATCTGAGCCTAGAACCGGGTCCAGTAGAACTTTACAATGAATGACTGCGGCTGATGAAGTCTGGACCACAGACTGGACCTGTGTACTGAGTTATTCTGTACCCACGGCTCCGGGCCATGGGTCCTGTCCGTTGCCACAGGTGTGATCCGTTGCCATGGGTCAGGTCCGTTGCCATGGGTCTGGTCTGTTGCCATAGGTCCGATCCGTTGCCATGGTTCCTGTCCGTTGTCGTGGTTTGATCCGCTGCCATGGTTCAAGTCCATTGCCATGGGTCCTGTCCGTTGCCACAGGTGTGATCCGTTGCCATGGGTCCGGTCCGTTGCCATGGGTCTGGTCTGTTGCCATGGGTCTGGTCTGTTGCCATGGGTCCGATCTGTTGCCATGGTTCCGGTCTGTTGCCATGGTTCCTGTCCATTGCCATGGGTCCGGTCCGTTGCCACAGGTGTGATCCGTTGCCATGGCTCCGGTCCGTTGCCACAGGTGTGATCCGTTGCCATGGGTCCGATCCGTTGTCATGGGTCCGATCCGTTGCCATGGGTCCGATCCGTTGCCATGGGTCCGGTCCGTTGCCATGGTTCCTGTCTGTTGCCATGGTTCCTGTCCGTTGCCATGGGTCCTGTCCGTTGCCACAGGTGTGATCCGTTGCCATGGGTCCGATCCGTTGTCATGGGTCCGATCCGTTGCCATGGGTCCGATCCGTTGCCATGGGTCCGGTCCGTTGCCATGGTTCCGGTGCTGCAGCAGTCGTTGCTCATGCTCTGAAGATGAGGACAGGAAGCTGCAGATAAACAGGAAGTGAAGAAATCTCCATGTCACTTATCGCCTCATCCAGACAGGAAGTGAAACAGGAAGCTGCTCTGCCTCATCACCATCATCATCATCACTGCGTCCCTGTCAGGACCAGAACCTTCATGGGGTTTAAGCCTCTCAGGCTCAAATGAAGTTGTAGTTGCAGTAAAAATCAGATATGTGGAGAAAATGATCACATGGGGTAGTAATATACCATTCAGACTTGTTAGTGAGAGAGAGACCTTCACATGCAATGAATTCTGGGATGTTGCAGATTTGCAACAGTGGCCCGGAGTGGTAAATTAACTCTGAAGACTGAACCTGATATGAACGTTAACTTTATTTGAAAACAAAATTCGAAAACAAAAATATTCTCAAAATATTCACAAAATTAGAGAGAACTTTTTCTCAACCTTTTTCTCCACCGACATCTCAAAACCTGTTGAGGAGGCCATTTCTGTTAAACTGTTGCTCAAAATATAGGCAAGCTAGTAGATAAAGCATGTAGCATCCATTGGTACCTGTTTGGTCACACGTTGCAAATCCACAACATTGAACTAGAGATGCCTCTGGTGAAAAACCCACCGGAGATAAAATCTACTAACTGGCATGTGTCAACCACCTGACTCAGGAACCACCTGACTCCATGCGATGACGTCATCGCAAGGAGTCAGGTGGTTCAGCCCACCTGTGCTTCTCATTCTGGCCTCGCTGCTAACAGCCTCCTCTGTCTGTGTTGCAGCCATCTTCCAGATCATCCAGAGCATCCGCCACGGCATGTGATGACCTTTGACCCCGGAGCCAGCTGCCTTCACCCCCCCCCCAACACACACACACACACACACACACACAGCTCTTCCTGGCTCTGTGGGGACTCTGATTCATTGGTCACCATGAAAAATTAAAAAAGAGAGACGGTTCCTCAGACTGGAGACACGTCTTCACCTTAAGAACGTGTCCCCGCCCTGAGGACGTCTCCCCACATTAACCAAGTGTCCCCACCCTGAAGAAGTCCTGAGGACTTGTCCCCACATTAAGGAGGTGTCCCTACCCTGAAGAAGTGTCCCTGCCCAGAGGATGTGTCTCATTGGCTGGTCCTGGGCGGCGGTCCCCTCAGACCCAGGAAGAGCAGAGTCCATGTCTGTTCCTGTGGCGTCCAAGCGTTGTTCCTCCTGCTGTGGCTGCAGATGGTTGTTTTATATTATTGTTGTTATGATGATGATGATGATGTTTTTCTGCACTGTTGATGAAGCTTGTTGCTGATCAGAGTTTGGTTCTTATTAATTGATGGAGTTCCTGGTCCAGATGAAGTCTTAAGGCGTTTTCCTTCCAGCTGCAGATTAAAGGAGAACTTCTGCTGCTCTAAACCCTGAAGCTCAGCTCGGTTCCTCAGAGACATTATTTAAGGATATTTATGATGCGTCTCTGCTGTGAAGCCACCCCTGAAAAGCCATAAAGCTGATCGTTCAGCAGAGGAACTGATTGATCTCTATTAAGCTGTGACGGTTATTATTTCACAATAAAAGCCCCATGGTCTCCACTGCTGCTGTAATAATGTGAACTTTCTAAAATGTACCGTGATGTTCTTAGGATGAGTTAGACGAGGCGACTGAGGGGGAATCAGGATTAGTCTTTACTGACGTTAGAGCAGCAGCGTCCCATTTAGCTCCGCCTCCGTCTCTGACCTTCAGGACGGAGGAATTTTCCTGTTAGATACCTGAAACCAGGAGGAGCTGAGGAACCATCAGTCTGAGCTCCCTGCTGACCCCTGCTGGACGATTTTCTCCACTTTTATACAAAATAAACTTCTGATATTTTTCTCTACTATCCCGTCTCCTGTCTTCATTATTATCAAATGAGGTTAGAAATGTACTTTCAATTCTATTCAGTTTATTTCTATATCGCCAATTCACATCATGTCATCTCAGGTCACTTTATAGAGACAATTCAACCAGATCATCCAGTCAGATTGATTCAAAGTTTTCTATCTAAGGAAAACCAGCTGATTGCATTGACTCATTGACTCTTCAGCAATCCCTCACACTGAGCATGTTTGCAGTTACAGCAGAGAGGAGACAGAAGCAGAGCAGACTGCCCCCTACTGGCTGATTAATAAACTTCCCTATAATTGGTTCTGACCATGGTTGGTCCATTTCAAAACGGACTTTAATCCCCGGAATGGGTTTCAGTCCCATTTAGGTTGGTTTAATTTGCAGAAATGTTTCATAAAGCAGGTTTAACAAATTCTGACCCAAATCAGCAGCTTAGAATTGATCCAGCCTGATGTTGGAAACTCTGAGTTCTTGGTTCCATTAAAGCTGACGTGAGTTCAGTCAAAGTTGAACAGGTGTGTAACAAGTGGCCGATGAAAAGCCATTATCAGTGGAGCACCATGAATCACCATGACAACAGGAAGTGCCTTTTTCACCCCACTGGAAGTAGAGGTTTTAATGAAGAACAATAAATGGAGAATGTGTTTGAAATAAAAAGCAGCAAAGGAGAGGAAGAGGGAGAAGAAGGTTGCTGCTCCAGTTAATGCAGAAGTTTATATGAAGCCGGCTATGGCAGGCCGTTTTTACATTTATTCAAAGCACTCTCCTCTCTGTTGTTCCATTTGTAGATCACTTAAAAAAGATTCTTCCTGATCAGAATCACACACCTAGACTGAACTAAAATAACTTATTTTCTAAATTACCTTAAATTAAGTTTTATATATCTAGAAATGTGGCCGTTCTGACATTTATTATCTTGGTTAAATATGGATTTATGAGATCTGAAATGTGTTAAATTATACAAATGCTGAGGAGAAACAACAGGAAGAAGGAGAGCATCCATTTATTTTGTTTTTAAGTGGAAGTGCTGCCCCCTACTGGTTATTTAATGAACTTCCCAGTAATTGATCTGCTGAGCTCAGCAGTTGGTGTCTCATAAAGGGAGGATGAGGAACGGTTGATTCCTCAGAGTGGATCATCTCTGCAGGAAAACCTTCATCTAACCTCTAAGAACCAGACGGACCGGGTCCCTGATGGTTGCCATGGCGATAAATTGGATGGGCTCTGTCTCTTCTAGGATAGTAAAGTCCTGAGTCCAGTGAGCTCTCCCAATGAAGACACAAGCAGGTTCCCCTGAAGGTTCTGCTGGAACCCGTTCATAGTGAGGTAGCTGGTCCTCATGGCTGGACCAAAGGAGGTGCTGATGCTCTGAGAAGAAGATCCTGAGGCCTCATAGGCTCGCTGCTGTGATGTCATGGGAAAGAGAGGTTGGACTGGATCAGAACCTTTAGAGGCTGATCCATGGATCCGATCCTGGTTCAGATCTGTCTTGATGAGCTTCTGCTGAGCAGTGGGTCGGTCAGCGTGTTCAGAAGGTTCTGATGTTCTGGTCGGCTTATTAATGAACAATACACACCTTATTTAAAATGTTAGAAACGTTTATTGGTATAAAACATGGAGGATAGAAACGGCCTGATCAACGGGCTCAGCCTGTCCTGATACCAGAACCACAGCAGCTCCTGACCTTCTGCACGTTGGACCCAGGTTCTGATGGAGATCTGGGTCACTAAGCTCAGACCTTCTCCTCAATCTGAAACCTCCAACGATCTCACTCTAGGAGATCACTCATCTGTTCCAGTCCCAGGCAGCAGGTCGGCTCATTACACATGATTTCATAACAATATAAGACTAATTACATTTCCAGACCTCAGACTGGGAGCTTCATCTGGCTTATTGGAACCAGTTCCTTTCATTTCCAGTCTCTTTGCAGATGTTTTGGAGGCAGAAGAACATCTGGTTCAGACAGCAGCAGGGATTCTTCTGACTTTAAAGGATGCTGATTGGTTGATTATATCCACTCAGAGGGGAGCTGACGTAGAATAGAAATGAACCAATGAGAGACTAAGCTTCTCCACAGCCGGCCAGCCCACACTGTGGGAAGTTCACAGTGGGGTGGGCGGGGCTTACAGTTTCACGATACACGATACACGATAAGCAGAGTCCAGGAGCTACAAGTCCTGGGTTGGTGCATTACTAAAGAGGTCACCATAATCCAGAACGGCTCTGTTAGCTTCAAAAAACTGTGAGTTCATATTGGACAAAAAATGAATCTGACACACCAAGGGATTTATAAACAGCTTCCTGCAGGAGGAGAAAGGCTGCCTGCTCACATGTCAGCACCTTTCTGCCCCCCACCAGAACAGCACAGTCTTTTATTAACAGATCACAAGCAAATGGGTTCAAGCACAAAGGTTCAATCTCAGTTTCATGACCAAATATTCCACATTTCCTTTACTGATTATGGTAAAGATAGATTCAACTCTTTCCGTTTCTTCTGCTGGAAACGTGGCATCTGGAGGACTGACCTGCAGGTGGCGCTCTGTTCTGGAGCTGAACGTCAACATTTAAATTAAGATCCATCTGTAGAAACATGACTATGTTAAAGAGTTTATGTAAAGCTGTAGATAACGACATCATCAGCATAGAAATGATAATCAGTGTCCAGAAGATTCTGACCAATATAGATGGTGTGAAGTTAGGAAGCTGAGGCGGAAACATTTCTTGCGAGAATTAATGTTCAAATGTTTTTAACGTCCTCGGACAGAGAGGTAGAGCTCTCAGTGAGAGGCATTTCAGTAAATACATTTATACCTTACAAAATCACACAACCCCGCCCCCCCGGGGAACCAACCCACCCCCTGCATAAAGAACTTTCTCACACTGGAACATTTGGTTATTCCTAAGAAAAAACACTTCACTTCATCAAGGGCATAATTTTAGCCAGATAAACACTGAGAACAGGTCTCCCGTTCGCAGCATGAAGGAGGCTGTGTGAACTCGTTATTATCGTTCATGACCCTCCCTCCACCCTTGGGAGGCATCCGCTCTCTGCCCCCCCTACCTTAAACATTACAGCGTAGAGGCTGGTCAGGAGGTCTCTGAACTATTCAGGCAGGCACACTCAAAATATCGTTATCTCACAAACAGACCAAAGAAAAATATGCTTCCACAATAATAGTGGCCCCCAAGAAGAGCCTTGAGGCATTCCCTAATTTCAAAACAGGAAGTTTTGAAATTAGCCTAAAGTTGATAAAAACTTGTAGTAGTCACCTTTAAATAAAGCCGTGACAAAAGCTGATTTCCAGAGTTTCAACATTTGGAATTTGGAGATCTCCGGTTGGACACTGGTGTTGGATGTCTAGATGCTGAGGTTGATGGAGGTCTCCTCCGGTTGGACGCTGGTGTGGGACGTCTAGATGCTGAGGTTGATGGAGATCTCCTCCGGTTGGACGCTGGTGTGGGACGTCTAGATACTGAGGTTGATGGAGGTCTCCTCCGGTTGGACGCTGGTGTGGGACGTCTAGATGCTGAGGTTGATGGAGGTCTCCTCCGGTTGGACGCCGGTGTGGGACGTCTAGATGCTGAGGTTGATGGAGGTCTCCTCCGGTTGGACGCTGGTGTGGGACGTCTAGATGCTGAGGTTGATGGAGGTCTCCTCCGGTTGGACGCTGGTGTGGGACGTCTAGATGCTGAGGTTGATGGAGATCTCCTCCGGTTGGACGCTGGTGTGGGACGTCTAGATGCTGAGGTTGATGGAGATCTCCTCCGGTTGGACGCCGGTGTGGGACGTCTAGATGCTGAGGTTGATGGAGATCTCCTCCGGTTGGACGCCGGTGTGGAACGTCTAGATACTGAGGTTGATGGAGATCTCCTCCGGTTGGACGCCGGTGTGGAACGTCTAGATACTGAGGTTGATGGAGATCTCCGGTTGGACACTGGTGTTGGATCACTAGATGCTGAGTTTGATGGAGATCTCCTCCGGTTGGACGCTGGTGTGGGACGTCTAGATGCTGAGGTTGATGGAGGTCTCCTCCGGTTGGACGCTGGTGTGGAACGTCTAGATGCTGAGGTTGATGGAGGTCTTCTTTGGTTGGACGCCGGTGTGGAACGTCTACCTCCTGAGGTTGATGGAGATCTCCTCCGGTTGGACGCCGGTGTGGAACGTCTACCTCCTGAGGTTGATGGAGATCTCCTCCGGTTGGACGCCGGTGTGGAACGTCTACCTCCTGAGGTTGATGGAGATCTCCTCCGGTTGGACGCCGGTGTGGGACGTCTACCTCCTGAGGTTGATGGAGATCTCCTCCGGTTGGACGCTGGTGTGGCACATCTACCTCCTGAAGTTGATGGAGATCTCCTCCAGTTGGACGCCGGTGTGGAACGTCTAGATGCTGAGGTTGATGGAGATCTCCTCCGGTTGGACGCCGGTGTGGAACGTCTAGATGCTGAGGTTGATGGAGATCTCCTCCGGTTGGACGCTGGTGTGGAACGTCTACCTCCTGAGGTTGATGGAGATCTCCTCCGGTTAGACGCTGGTGTGGGACGTCTACCTCCTGAGGTTGATGGAGATCTCCTCCGGTTGGACGCTGGTGTGGGACGTCTACCTCCTGAGGTTGATGGAGATCTCCTCCGGTTGGACGCTGGTGTGGGACGTCTACCTCCTGAGGTTGATGGAGATCTCCTCCGGTTGGACGCTGGTGTGGGACGTCTACCTCCTGAGGTTGATGGAGATCTCTAGTTGGACGCCGGTGTGGGACATCTAGATGCTGAGGTTGATGGAGATCTTCCCTGGTAGAACCCTCACTGGGTTCTGGTCCACATTCATGATGAAGGCCATGAGCTTCTCAGTGAAGGTGTGTGTGAAGGTGTGTATGTGAGTGTCTGTGTCTGGATCGGAGAAGGTCAGTTTTCCTGCTTCCCAGTCCAGGTTGACCTGGACCTTTTGGACCTTCCTCTGGACTGGGAGGATGTTAGCGGAACCTGCTGGGTCCAGTGCAGAGTAACTCCCTCCGTAGAACCCGATCCTCCAGAACCCGGACTGCGTGTCTCCTGTTTTGTGGACGGATTCTGGCATCAGACCCAGCAGCCAGTAGGTGCTGTCTCCCACCTCCACCTCCCAGCTGTGGCTCCCTGAGCAGAACCCCTGGGAGCTCAGAACCGAGCTGTAAGACCCGATCCGCTCCGGGTTCTGAGGCAGCGGCTGCTTCTCTCCTCGCCTCAGCGTGGTCAGATCTTCAGACAGGAGGAGCTCTGGGTGGGCGGAGTTTGGGTCCAGGACCAGAGGAGTGTAGGACACCATGTCCTTCATGCTGCTCCAGATGTTGAAGGTCAGGTTGCCCAGATGTTTGGCCTGGTCTATCAGGGCTCCTGAGGGCAGCTGTGGGTCCTCCAGCAGGGGGTGCTGGTGGACCTGCTGGGCTGCAGCCTGGTAGCACCTCAGGAAGGAGATATCTCCAGCGCTCAGCTGCTCCTCTGTGCTGCGGACTGTCTCGGACAGAGCTGCTATCTCTCTTCTCAGAGCCTCCATCTTCTCCTTCATCATCCTGCTCTTCTGCTCCTCTTCCTCCCTCAGAGAGACCAGCCTGGCCTCCTCTTCCTCCAGCAGAAACTGATGAAGCTTCTGGAACTGGTCCCTGATCTGCCTCTCTGTGGACCGGGCCTGGACCTTCATGTGTTCTGCTGTCTGGCTGAACTCCTCCTGAACTTTCCTCCTCAGCTCCAGCTTCCTCCTCAGAGGCTCCAGGGTTTCCTGAAGCTGCTTCCTGTGCTGCTGAGCAGCCTCCTGGATGGGTGAGAAGGTGTGTCCAGCATGTTGGTGAGAACCTCTGCAGACAGGACAGACGGGCTGCTGGTGGTCCAAACAGAACAGGTCCAGACTCTCGGAGTGCAGCTGGCAGAAGCCCTCAGAGGCTCTCTGCTGCAGGAATGTCTCACACTGGCGCTGCAGAGACATGTCGATGGGAGGCTCCTCCTTGGAAAACCTCCTCCTGCAGGCCGGACATTCTGCTCCTGGCTTCTCCTTCCAGCAGGTCTTCAGACAGCCTCTGCAGAAGCTGTGATTGCAGGTCAGAAGCACGGGATGCTTGAAGACCTCCTGACAGATGGAGCAGATGAGGTTCTCTGGTATGGAAGCCATGCTGAACGCTCAGACTCACTTTAACCGCTCTGATCAGAGGAGGAAGTGAATGTTCACCTTTGACCCACTTCACTAAGAGGGAGGAGCTTCTTCCTCCTTTGGCTCAAAGCTGCTGTTCAGGCAGTAAAATGACAGAAAGCTCCAGATAAACCGGTTCTGGTTGGATCCGCAGTGATCAGAGCAACAAGGCTGGACTTTTATTCTGAAAGGGCAACTTCAGGCTCCAGCAGCACACAGACTGTCAGAGTAAGATGTTCCAGAAGAAGATCCACGAACAGAGCCCTGACCAAGATGGCAGCCGTTACCGGTTAGAACACTGAGGGAAGGATGACAGTAAAGCTGTTGGCAGAGATCATGAAATCTGTGTTTATCATGTTTATCAGCTTTAATGTTGGTATATTGGTGTGAATAATTAACTACTGTATGCTTGGTGCTCAGATTGTAGTAAATAAAGTAACCGTTAAAAGTCAAACTAGTGAAAACATGGAGGATCACTGCTGCCATCCTCTGGTTCAGAAGGGAACTGCAGCTTCCAGAGGCGGTGACGTCATGTCTTCAAGGAGACTTTATTGTCATTTTGTAGCAGAGAGATCTTAGAGGACAACATGCTGGTGAAGATTCTCAGTCATCCAGATCAATAAGATGATTAAAATCAATCCTCTGGACTTTGTTTCTAAGTTTCTCTTCCATCCAGGAAACTTTTTCAATTCAAAATGTCAGAAATAGCGTTTAGTTCCAGGTTTTATCCAGCAGACCAACAAAGCCTGGTTTTAGTTTAGAAAACATGCAAACTGGAACAGACATCCTTTGCATTCAGATTATGACAGGGATTAGATTATAGTTGAAATAAATAATATTATATATATAAAGCGCAGCAGTGATGAGGATGAACCAGAGCAAGAACACAAACACTTAGAGAGAAAAGGAGAAGGAACGTTAGTGTGCAATAAATAATGGTGCAAAATAAACAACTATGATGATCCTCTGATGTTCCTCTGATGTTCCTCTGATGTTCCTCTGATGATCCTCTGATGTTCCCCTGATGTTCCCCTGATGTTCCTCTGATGATCCTCTGATGTTCCCCTGATGTTCCTCTGATGTTCCTCTGATGTTCCTTTGATGTTCCTCTGATGATCCTCTGATGTTCCTCTGATGATCCTCTGATGTTCCTCTGATGATCCTCTGATGATCCTCTGATGTTCCTCTGATGTTCCTCTGATGTTCCCCTGATGTTCCTTTGATGATCCTCTGATGTTCCTCTGATGATCCTCTGATGTTCCTCTGATGGTCCTCTGATGATCCCCTGATGTTCCCCTGATGTTCCTCTGATGATCCCCTGATGTTCCCCTGATGTTCCTTTGATGATCCTCTGATGTTCCTCTGATGATCCTCTGATGTTCCCCTGATGTTCCCCTGATGTTCCTTTGGTGATCCTCTGATGATCCTCTGATGATCCTCTGATGTTCCTTTGATGATCCTCTGATGTTCCCCTGATGTTCCCCTGATGTTCCTTTGATGATCCTCTGATGATCCTCTGATGATCCTCTGATGATCCTCTGATGTTCCTCTGATGATCCTCTGATGTTCCCCTGATGTTCCCCTGATGTTCCTCTGATGTTCCCCTGATGTTCCTTTGATGTTCCTTTGATGTTCCTCTGATGATCCTCTGATGTTCCCCTGATGTTCCCCTGATGTTCCTTTGATGATCCTCTGATGATCCTCTGATGATCCTCTGATGATCCTCTGATGTTCCTCTGATGTTCCTCTGATGTTCCCCTGATGTTCCTTTGATGATCCTCTGATGTTCCTCTGATGATCCTCTGATGTTCCCCTGATGTTCCTCTGATGTTCCTCTGATGGTCCTCTGATGATCCCCTGATGTTCCCCTGATGTTCCTCTGATGATCCCCTGATGTTCCCCTGATGTTCCTTTGATGATCCTCTGATGTTCCTCTGATGATCCTCTGATGTTCCCCTGATGTTCCCCTGATGTTCCTTTGGTGATCCTCTGATGATCCTCTGATGTTCCTTTGATGATCCTCTGATGTTCCCCTGATGTTCCCCTGATGTTCCTTTGATGATCCTCTGATGATCCTCTGATGATCCTCTGATGTTCCTCTGATGATCCTCTGATGTTCCCCTGATGTTCCCCTGATGTTCCTCTGATGTTCCCCTGATGTTCCTTTGATGTTCCTTTGATGTTCCTCTGATGATCCTCTGATGTTCCCCTGATGTTCCCCTGATGTTCCTTTGATGATCCTCTGATGATCCTCTGATGATCCTCTGATGATCCTCTGATGTTCCTCTGATGATCCTCTGATGTTCCCCTGATGTTCCCCTGATGTTCCTCTGATGTTCCTCTGATGATCCTCTGATGTTCCCCTGATGTTCCCCTGATGTTCCTTTGATGATCCTCTGATGTTCCTCTGATGATCCTCTGATGATCCTCTGATGTTCCCCTGATGTTCCCCTGATGTTCCTCTGATGTTCCTCTGATGTTCCCCTGATGTTCCTTTGATGTTCCTTTGATGTTCCCCTGATGTTCCTCTGATGTTCCTCTGATGTTCCTCTGATGATCCTCTGATGTTCCCCTGATGTTCCTCTGATGTTCCTCTGATGTTCCTCTGATGATCCTCTGATGATCCTCTGATGTTCCCCTGATGTTCCTCTGATGTTCCTCTGATGATGATCCTCTGATGTTCCTCTGATGTTCCTCTGATGTTCCTCTGATGTTCCTCTGATGATCCCCTGATGATCCTCTGATGTTCCCCTGATGATCCTCTGATGTTCCTCAGATGATCCTCTGATGTTCCTCTGATGTTCCTCTGATGTTCCTCTGATGATCCTCTGATGTTCCTCTGATGTTCCTCTGATGTTCCTCTGATGATCCTCTGATGATCCTCTGATGATCCTCTGATGATCCTCTGATGATCCTCTGATGTTCCTCTGATGATCCTCTGATGTTCCTCTGATGATCCTCTGATGTTCCTCTGATGATCCTCTGATGATCCTCTGATGATCCTCTGATGTTCCTCTGATGATCCTCTGATGTTCCTCTGATGATCCTCTGATGTTCCTCTGATGATCCTCTGATGTTCCTCTGATGTTCCCCTGATGTTCCTTTTGATGTTCCTCTGATGATCCTCTGATGATCCCCTGATGTTCCCCTGATGTTCCCCTGATGTTCCTCTGATGATCCTCTGATGTTCCTCTGATGTTCCTCTGATGTTCCTCTGATGGTCCTCTGATGTTCCTCTGATGTTCCTCTGATGTTCCCCTGATGATCCTCTGATGTTCCTCTGATGTTCCCCTGATGTTCCTCTGATGATCCCCTGATGTTCCCCTGATGTTCCTCTGATGATCCCCTGATGTTCCCCTGATGTTCCCCTGATGTTCCGCTGATGTTCCTCTGATGTTCCTCAGATGTTCCCCTGATGTTCCCCTGATGTTCCTCTGATGTTCCTCTGATGATCCTCTGATGAACCTCTGATGTTCCTCTGATGTTCCTCTGAAGCTGAACTTTCATATTTCTCCAGGATCAGCTGCTGGATGGAGCTCAGGATTTTATATAGATGGAATCGGCGTCGTAGCCCCGCCCACCTACGCTGATACGCCATGGCGTCAGAAGCAGAGAACATGGCGGCTGTGCTGAAGGCGGAAGGTAAAGAGCTTTAAGTGATGTCTTATTCTCCGGTGTCGGTACCGTAGGTTCGGTTGGTACCGGTCAGAACCCATCTGGTTCCGGTCCCTGGCCGCGGGCTGAGCTCTGCTAGCCGGAGCTGCAGCCCCGCAGCTCGGCTGCTGCAGGTGTTTATCACGGCAGGAACCAAAACATGATGGGGGCTTCTGACAGCTGATGGGGGGGAGGAAACCCGCCGCCTGACCGGCTCAGGGTGCGCTGCTAGCCGGCCTGACCGGCTGGCTCTGCTGCGTTTGGTCTGGAGGTCCGAGCAGCTCCGAACCAGGAAGCGGCAGCTGAAGCTGCAGGGCCGGCAGGAGAAGCTGAGAGGCGGCGGGAGCAGCCGGGAGAGACCGCGGTCTGAGAGCGGCCTCCGGGAGGACCGAGCGGATCCTTCAGCCTGAGCTGCTGGGGATCCGGAACCGGTTCATTAGACGCCTTTAACCGGGGATCAAAACAAGTTCATTAGACACCCGGAACCGGTTCATTAGACACCCGAAACCGGTTCATTTGACACCTTTAACCGCAGATTGAAACCGGTTCATTAGACTCCTTTAACCGGGGATAAGAACAAGTTCATTAGACACCCGGAACCGGTTCATTAGACACCCGGAACCGGTTCATTAGACGCCTTTAACCGGAGGTCAAAACAAGTTCATTAGACACCCGGAACCGGTTCATTAGACACCTTTAACCGGAGGTCAAAACAAGTTCATTAGACACCTGGAACAGGTTCATTAGACACCCGGAACTTCATTAGACACCTTTAACCGGGGATCAAAACAAGTTCATTAGACACCCGGAACCAGTTTATTAGACGCCTTTAACCGGGGACCAAAACAAGTTCATTAGACACCTGGAACAGGTTCATTTGACACCCGGAACCATTAGACACCTTTAACCGCAGATCGGAACCAGTTCGTTAGACTCCTTTAACCGGGGATAAGAACAAGTTCATTAGACGCCCGGAACCGGTTCTTTAAACCCCTTTTAAAGGGGATTTTCAAAAACCCCCGGTTCTTTAAACACAAACTTTACGGCCCCCCCGGAACCCGGGTTATTAAACCTTTAAAGGGGATGAACGTTCTTTAAAACCGCTTTATTGAAACCCAAACCTTCATTAAACCCTCTTAATGAATCGGAACGTTCATAACCCCCAAACTTATTGCCCCCCGAACCGGTTTCTTTAACCCCCACTTTTAGAAACCCGGAACCGGTTCTTTTAAACCTTTAAGGGGACGAACTTTCATTCCCCCCCACATCTTAAATTGAACCCGGGTTTCATTAACGCCTTAAGGGGATGAACCCTTTTTTTTTTTCATTAAACCTTTAACCGCAGACGGAACCGGGTTCATTAACACTGGAACTCTTCATTAGACCCCCTTTTAAAAACCGGGGATAAAAATAATTTCATTAAAAGCTTTAACCGGGGATAAGAATAAGTTCATTAGACGCCTTTAACCACAGATTGGAACAGGTTCATTAGAAGCCTGTAACGGGGGATCAGAACATCATTAGACATCCAGAACCGGTTCATTAGAAGCCTTTAACCGGGGATAAGAACCGGTTCATTAGACGCCTGGACCCGGTTCATTAGACGCCTGGACCCGGTTCATTAGACGCCTGGAACCGGTTCATTAGACACCCTCAACCGGTTCATTAGACGCCTTGAACCGGTTCATAAGACACCCTCAACCGGTTAATTAGACGCCCGGAACCGGTTAATTAGACGCCCGGAACCGGTTCATTAGACCCCTGGAACCGGTTCATTAGACCCCTGGAACCGGTTCATTAGAAGCCTTTAACCGGTTAATTAGACGCCTGGAACCGGTTCATTAGACACCCTCAACCGGTTAATTAGACGCCCGGAACCGGTTCATTAGACACCCTCAACCGGTTCATTAGACCCCTGGAACCGGTTCATTAGAAGTCTTTAAACAGGGATAAGAACCGGTTCATTAGACGCCCGGAACGGGTTCATTAGACACCCTCAACCGGTTCATTAGACGCCCGGAACCGGTTAATTAGATGCCTGGAACCGGTTCATTAGACACCCTCAACCGGTTCATTAGACGCCCGGAACTGGTTCATTAGACGCCCGGAACCGGTTCATTACATGCCTGGAACCGGTTCATTAGACACCCGGAACCGGTTAATTAGACGCCCGGAACCGGTTCATTAGACACCCTTAACCGGTTCATTAGACACCTGGAACCGGTTCATTAGAAGCCTTAAACCGGGGATAAGAACCGGTTCATTAGACGCCCGGAACCGGTTAATTAGACGCCCGGAAACCGGTTCATTAGACACCCTCAACCGGTTAATTAGACGCCCGGAACCGGTTCATTAGACACTCTCAACCTGTTCATTAGACGCCCGGAACCGGTTAATTAGACGCCCGGAACTGGTTAATTAGACCCCCGGGAACCCGGGTTAATTAGAAAAACCCCAATCGTTAATTAAACCCCAACCGGTTCATTAGACCCCCTCAACCGGGTTCATTAGAAGCCTTTAACCGGGTTTCATTAGACACCCTCACCGTTCATTAACCCGGAACCGGTTCTTTAGAACCTTTAACCAGGATAAGAACCCGGGTTCTTAGACCCCAAACCCGGGTTAATTAGACACCTGGAACCGGTTTTCATTAGAAGCCTTTAACCAGGGAAAAAACCCGGGTTCTTTATTAGGGTGAAATCCATCCACATGGGATTCTTTTCAGTGCTGTTTTGCTGACCCACCGATTAATTATTTGCGATACTCAAGAATACCCACGATACATGCTATTAGACTTTTTAACTGGAGATTAAATTTTTTAGGTTGGGAACTGGTTATTTGACTCCTTTTAACGGGGTAAAACAAGTTCATTACACACTTTATATGGAAAATGGGAACTTTTTCTTAGACGCCTTAAAACGGAATCAGAACTGCTTCAAGGATGGAACAGCTTCTTTTTGACCCCTTTTAACCCCGGGGATGGGAAGCGGTTCATTAGACACCTTAACCGGGGCGGAACCGGTTCATTAACCCTTTAACTGGGATGGGGAACCTTTTCATACACACCTTTATATGGGATTGGAACCGGTTCTTTTACACCCCTTTTAATATGGGGATTGGAACCCGGGTTCCTTACACATTTTTATAGGGGGTTTGGAACCGGTTCTTTAAACCACCTTATATGGGGATGGGAACCGGTTCATTTACACGTCTAAGGGGATCGGAACCAGTTCTTTTACACATTTTTATATGGGATGGGAACCGGTTTCTTTACACATCTTTATAGGGGGAGGGAAACCCGTTCATTACAATCTTTATATGGGAGGGAACCTTTCATTACTTCCTTTTATATGGGATGGGGAACCCGTCATTACTCCCTTTTTTTGGGAGGGAAACCTTTTTCATTACCCCTTTATATGGGGATCGAACCGTTCTTTCCCTCGGGCCCTTTAAATAGGGATGGGAACCCCGGGTTCATTACACACTTTATATGGGGATCGGAACCGTTTCATTACCCCTTAATGGGGATCGGAACCGGTTCATTACACATCTTTATATGGGATCGGAACCTTTTCATTACTCCCTTTATAGGGGGATCGGAACCTTCATTACACATCTTTTATGGGGATCGAACCTTTCCTTACTCCCCTTTTAAGGGGGATGGGAACCGGTCATTACACTTTTTTAATGGGATGGGGAACCGGGGGGGGGGGGGGGGGGGGGGGGGGGGGTTTTTTTTTTTTTTTTTTTTTTTTTTTTTTTTTTTTTTTTTTCCCTTTTTTTTGGGGGATCCCTGAAACCGTTTAAACTCGCCTTTTTGGGGATCGGCCGGCTTTACAATCTTTAATGGGGGGAACCGCTTACTCACCTTTATAGGGGACCGGCCCGGTTTTTCATTACACACTAAAGGGGCACGGAAGCCGCGGAGAAAGCTTAGACGCGAGCAGCGGGAGAGACCGCGGTTTGAAGCGGCCTCCGGGAGGACCGAGCGATCCTTCAGCCTGAGCTGCTGGGATCCGGAACCGGTTCATTAGACGCCTTTAAACCGGGGATCAAAACAAGTTCATTAGACACCGAACCGGTTCATTAGAAACCCGAAACCGTTCATTAGACGCCTTTAACCGCAGATTGGAACCGTTCATTAGACTCCTTTAACCGGGGATAAGAACACATTTTCATTAGACACCGAACCGGTTTCATTGGGACGCCGGGAACCGGTTCATTAGACGCCTTTAACTGGGGATCAAAACAAGTTCATTAGACACCCGAACCGGTTCGTTAGACGCTTTAACCGGGGATCAAAACAAGTTCATTAACACCTGGAACTGTTCAATAGACACCCGGAACCGGTTCATTAGACTTCTTTAACCGGGAAAGAAAGTTCATTAGACACCCGGAACCATTTATTAGACCCTTTAACCGGGGACCAAAACAAGTTCATTAGACACCTGGAACAGGTTCATTTGACACCCGGAACCATTAGACAACCGTTAACCGCAGATCGGAACCAGTTCGTTAGACTCCTTTAACCGGGGATAAGAACAAGTTCATTAGACGCCCGGAACCGGTTCATTAGACGCCTTTAACCGGGGATAAGAACAAGTTCATTAGACACCCGGAACTTCATTAGACATCTGGAACTGGTTCATTAGACGCCCGGAACCGGTTTATTAGAAGCCTTTAACGGGGCATCAGAACAAGTTCATTAGATGCCCGGAACTTCCATTAGACACCCAGAACCAGTTCATTAGAAGCCCTGGACTTCATTAGACATCTGGAACTGGTTCATTAGACACCCGGAACTTCATTAGACACCCGGAACCGGTTCATTAGACGCCCGGGACTTCATTAGACACCCGGAACCGGTTCATTAGAAGCCTTTAACGGGGCATCAGAACAAGTTCATTAGACGCCCGGGACTTCATTAGACATCTTGAACCGGTTCATTAGACGCCTTAACCGGGGATAAGAACCGGTTCATTAGAAGC